AGGAGGATTTACACTGACACCTATGAGAAAGCACACAAGGTGTTGGTTAATGAGGAGAGCAGAATGGAGGCCATGGAAGTGGGCACCCGCCATGGCTGGTGTGCAGCAGGTCACCTGGAACGGGGTTGATCGAAGCTAGGCGACTCGCCTTCGCAAAGCACCACCCGTCATGTGGTGTTCGGTGCGGCCTTGTCGGCCCTCGTGTGGCATTGACAACGGTGGTGGCGGCGGCGGCGAGCAGCGTGGCTTGTGGGTGCGTTTACTGACGGATACGCCTTGGTAGGCTAGTGTGTACGGCTGCTGCTTTGCTGGGAGTGGGCAGGCAGCCGTATGGCCTCGGGCGGGGGAGGGTGAGGGGGTGTGGGGTGGTTTTTTGACATGAGACCACCTACTCAGCACTAACACGGTCATGGGGAATCTGATGACCATTCTATGTCAACATTGAGGAGCATGCTTGTTTAGCAGGAGAGGATGCGAAGACTCAGACTTTGGCCACATGAACCCTGCCTCGCATCTCGTGGTTGCGAGGTATTGGTTGCTCTCCTTACTAAACGAAAGATTTGGGGCATTTAAGTCGCATTCTTTCATGCATTCGTTCCTCCCGCATATAGGCCTGCGTACGTACGCTGTCAACTCGTAGCCTTAGATGTTGCAGTGTACGTACGCATTTTTTCCGCCTATTGCAGGCGAAGGCTTTATTCTTCCTTTCTCTCCTCCTTCCTTACTTCCTACCTTTCTCCAATCACTCTTCCATTCATTCATTCTTTCATTCGTTTATCCTTGCACCCAAACACTCTATAACTCAACCTTTTTCTGCACCAATGTTTTCTCCAATGTTGGTAGCGAATGCGCGAATATAATGACTGCCATAATTGATGTGCAGCAATAAGCGTACACGTGGGGCGAAACGCCTAAACAACACGTGTACGCATTATTTCCATAAGCTACGGCAACAAATAGTCTTGGTAGTGTCTCCAATCACAGTGTTCAAGATGTACCTGCTACAGGCTATGAGCGGGTATTTCTGTAGAGTACACAACAGCACTAAGGCTGAACAAGGAAATGCCATCCTTTCTAATGCAAACTCAATTGTGTTGAGGCAACTAATCTAATTTCGGTAGGCATCCTTCACTAGGGAATTTTGCCATGCAGATGACTGAGGATAAGTCGGGGCGTCTTCAAGGAGCAATCCGCAACATTTGCTTTCGAATACGCGGAGACCTTCGTATTGCTTTTATTCATGTCGTTATTCGGTTTGCCGAAGACGAATCTCTAGAGCTGAGGGAATATTTTCTTGCGTGTGTGTGTGTGTGTGTGTGAGTGTGAGGGTGAGTGGGGGGGGGGCGAATTCGTCCAATGGTGTACTGTGAGAATACACATGATTTCGTCACCTTGATGGCAAGCTGTTGCTATTGCTGTTATTGTTGTTTACCCGTTTTGAATATCAAAGTAAAACAGCCTGTTTCTCGAAAATCGTCAGCATTATCACAATCACGACCATCACAACCACCATTATTATTAGCGTCATCATCATCATCATAACATTTGTGTGTCTTTCATTCCTTGCCACGAAATTCAATCTCCTTTGACACTTGGCCATTATTCCTTCAAAGTGGACAAATAGTGCATTACACTTGCATTTGCAAAGTAGGCATAGTGGAGTGCATTGAATGGATGACTCAGTGGTGAAAGAGGCTAAAGGGCCACATGGTTGGAAGTAGGGGAAAAAAGTAGGAATTTTCTGCTAAAAATTGGGAAAAATAAGGATGCGAAATGTTCACTGAATTGAGTTAATTTCACTACTTTCAACCTAAACCTAAAGGTGGATTTGATGTGGATGACACAACGAATTAGGCTTGTTTTCTTCGGTGTGCCATAGCCCGTCTGAGCGGAACAAACCTCTGATGTAATATGTAGTCGGTGGTGCTAGCCACTACGTGGTGCGCCACCGACTACACAGCGCTCCAAACCTGAGCAGCTCAAGCGCATGCAGAAGAGGTAAAAGCAGTGCTAGAGTACTTGCTCGAGTACTTGCAGCGAACCTGCGGAAGACACTTTACCCGGCACGCGCCTTGCAGGTGCAGGTGAATGAGGGTGCGCCGCTGTCTGCCAGGTGTTGGGCCTGACTGTCGTGTTGCCTGCGCAAAGAAGCTCCGGCGGTGGCTTCTCGGACCAAACAACTTGGCACTGTTGATGTAACAAGGGCGATAACTTCCAATCCATTGA